TTTTTTTTTTTTTCAGGTTTTTTTTGTGGAATAGCTTAACACTCTTGTGAGTAAGTTAATCATTGAGGGATTTCATGAATATTCATGCTTTGGCTTGTTGAGTGGTGTTTGATTGGCTTCTTGGATTGATCTTGGTTGAGATTGGATGGTTGGCCAGGAATTTGGGTTGGATTTTGGAGGGACAACACCAAGAGAAAAAATCAAGGAAAAGACCTTATGAACTCCTCTGAAACATGCTGCTGAGTCCAAGGCTCGAACCATTACCACACACCACTACCCTTGATTCAATATGTTAAGAGCAGTTTTCGCATGACTGTGAAAAGCTCACGGCACGAACACGGTAATGACACGGCAAGGGATACGCCAGACCAATCACATTGCTCGACAATTTACTCCTCATCCAATATAATACCCTTACGTAACACGGCATAAACACGGCGCGGACACGGTGGCGCCAAATGTTACGACACTGTCAGTCCAATCACGTTGAGTGAGGAAAAAATCTGACAATTAAAATCAACTCTAAAAGCATCACGGCACGGCACGCTTATGGCGCTGAGCTTTTCAGTCATGCGAAAAATGCTCTAATACAATGTTGTTACCTTGCTTAGAGCCAGCCCTTTATTATGATGAAGCCCAAATCTAACACCAGCGATGACACAAGCTTGGAGTTTGAAGGATTCTGCATCGATTTTCTGAATGAATTGAAAAAGAAACTTCAGTTTGAATATGAGATTGAGAGTAGAGACTCACTGTTACAAAAGCTACAGGACGGGTCCTGGGACGGTATTATAGGAGATTTAACGAAAGAGGTATGGCTTTGATTACTCGATTTTTCGTGTCTCACTTTTCTTTTAAAACTTATCCCCTCCCTCCCTGCCCGCCTGCCTGCCTGCCTGCCTTCCCTCCTTCCTTCCTTCCTTCCTTCCTTCCTTCCTTCCTTCCTTCCTTCCTTCCTTCCTTCCTTCCTTTCGTTCGTTCTTTTTTTGTGTGTTCTTTTCATTGCGTCACTAAATTATAAAAAGCATGCCATATATATTCAAACAGTAGTAGACTATTTCTACAAAACGAATTCGGCAAAAAATGCGCCTTATATTATGCATTATTATTTTCGTTGTTGTTGTTTTTTTTTTGTTTGTTTGTTTTTTTTTTTTGTTTTTTTGTTTTTTGTTTTTTTGTTTTTTTTGTTTTTGAGTGAGGTTGAGCTTGATACCGTGAATTATCATAACCGAGGCTATGTTGATAATATATGATATCGTGCGAAAACGGAATTCACCGATTTGTTTTGGTATAATTATTGTCAGCGGAATAATAAAAATTTATTACAATTTAATATTCAGCTTTTGAAACAAAGCAAAAATATTTCCATCTCTGTTAAGTTATGACCTTTCAAGGGCGGATCCATCCAAAATTTTAGTGGGGGGGGGGGGGGGGGGGGGGATGACGTAACGTGCAATCGAAGAATACAGTTGTTATGTAGGTTCACTCGCTATCAAAGAGGCCAAATAGTGAGCACAATGCATAAAATCTGAAAAATTGTGTAATATCGCTTTACATTTTTATACGGTGAAAAAAATACTAAACTGTTTTCACGTTTCTTGTAATACATTTTTCACTGAAAACAGATTAATGAACGGCGTGAAACTATTTTTAAAATRATGCAAATTAGCTTAAAGCGCATGCGCATTTTTGCGTTTGACGTCATCCGTACGTTTCCTACTCKTAAAACCCGTTCCAAAGTATCTTGTATTTTACTTTTTTGAGTCGAAAACCGAAAACTAAGACGTCTAGGATTACGACACTTCATTTCATTTAGCCCGCGTTTCTTGGCGGTTTGCGGAGTTGAGAAGAAGAGAGTCGAAACACCGCAGACCAGCAAGCAACGCAGTCTAGAATCATATTCCTTCGAACCACTACGTTTTTATGGAAAAAGACAGAATACTTTTGAACAGCTAGGTTTCGATCGACAATTAACAACGCGCTCTAAGCGTAGATGTTATTCTTTGCCTGTTTCTCATACCCTGGTATTTTTTCATAGTGTTGGGCGGCAGCTTGGCTTTCTTCACCGCGATGTAATGATTGATATGCAGGCTGTTTCACGAGTTGCAGCTCCATGTACTCTGTCGTTTTTGTTTCCTTATTCGCTTCCTCCTTCGCTGCTCTCGCAGCGTCATCTAACGACTCATAATCAGTACTAGTACCGCCTGGCATTTGGCCTATTAGCGCGTAATGTTGTACACTTTGAGCCTCATCTTGGATCACTTGCTCTGGTGGTTTGAGAGGGTTAGTTACGGCGTTACTGCTTGACTGGATGACGTCACTCTCGAGTGCTTGGTTGTCACTGGCATCAGCCATTAAGTTTTGCCCTTCACTATTTTCTTTATTTCTTCGTAATCGGCAAATCAGGTATGCGATGCACCAAAGGAAGTATGAAATATATTACTGTTGATAAAAGAAGAATTGTTCGATTATTTCATATATCTATTCCAATACACACCTTTACCTTGGGCATACTGTTTCCCCATTTCAGACCACATGTCATTCCCTAGAGTATCATTTCTTTGTTTAAAGGTTGCACATGAAAAGACACACGAATATGGATACAGATTAAACGAAGAATCT